ATGAAATCTGTTTTTCCCTATAAATGGCCAATGTTTAGCTCCTAAAGAAACATGACTTAATTTTCATAGGGGATAAGCAGCTCCTATTGGTTGAAGTGCAAAATATGGATGCATTTCACACTTGAAAATCATAAAAACTGAGATTTTGAAAATCTTTATTTCGTTCACTTAAAGGGATAAAAAGAAGGAAGAGAAAGAAAAGAAACGTTCTAAAACTCCACCAAAAAGTTACAGCACAACGGCTTTCCAGAAGCGGTGGGGTCCTCACTCCCCGCTCCTTCTTCCCAGGAAACAACATCAAGCCCTAGGGTCCCTTTGCCCCCCGACAGGGCACAACAGCAGCACCGCAGCCTCGCGCTACCCCGCCGGCTCTCAACCCCTTTAAGCTCAGTCGAGAACCAAGTTTTCTGAGCTGGAAAACACCAGCTCGTGTCCACCCTTTTTTAATTATTATTTGACTACAGAAAAACAACAGAGCGGCGAGGGCGGACGGATGGCCACACGCATCCGCCGGGTGTCTCTTGGCAGCACCCGACAACAGCATCTCTGCGCGCCCCGTTTCCCGTCACTCAAAAGCAGGGCGCGCGAGCCCGCAGGCCGGGGTCGCAGGCAAACTTTCGAGGCGGGCTCCTCTCGGGCTGGCACGTGCGGCAGGGCAGGGGTGTTTACAAGCGGGATCCTGGTCCGGACGCCCCGTCCTGGCGAGTCGGTCGTCGCCCCTACGCCCCACAGCCGCCGGGTCCCTGTGCTCCCCCCGCGCCCCGGCCCAGCCCCACCCCCCGGGAGGCGGCCGCGGCCGGGCCCTCCGTGACACAAGGCGGGGGGCGCTCACCAGTTGGTCATGTCGAGGAAGAAGGCGCAGCCGGCCGGGCTGAGCTGGAAGCCGAGCAGGCGCTGGAACTCGCCGATGAGCACGTCCTTGTCGGTGGTGCCCAGGCAGCTGAACTTCTGCATCAGCTCCGCGTCCAGGTCCACGTCCATGCCCTCCATGACGCCGCCGCCCGCTAGGCCCCGCCGCCCCCGCGCCG